CAGAAGACAGGAGGAGAACAGGACAAACAGCTGCTACCTACAGCAGGCCCACACAGCACCAGGAAAGCTTTCACCATACTGAGTCCAAAGGTCTCAGCTTGGACAGCTAGATACAAAGGAGGAAAACCAACCATTTCCAGTCACCTAGCCATTTCCAGCCATGGCCCATGACTGCTCTTTTCCACAACACTGACTTCAAGGTCTGGAGGTCTTGTGAAGGAATGGGAGCTAAACAGTAACCAGAGAGGGCAATCCAGCTAGGAAAGGAGCCCGAGTCTCCCCTGAGGCCACCTCAGCTAGCCTGTCTGCTGCTGTGGGCAGCAGGAACAGCAAGAGACTTGCTCATTTCAAGTACCAGCAGCTTCAGACTTCCCCGCACAGCACCAGACTGGGAAATCCTGCAAAAAGCTGAACAGGCTGCTAGCAATGACCGCGACAAAACTCATGGGCAAGACAGAAACTAACGACAACGGGAAGTACAGGAGAGCCGAGAGGGAAGCTAAACTTCATTGTTAGAAAGGCAACCCAGCACCTGCAAGGACTCTCCTTGAAGTGCTTCTATTTTCACACACATGATGAGCTGGGATGTGGTGAGATGCAGGGATCCAGATGTACAAACTTAAAACTGACATTAAAAAATAGGAGACTTTAAAGGCACAGAGAGCTGTGGCTCAAGGGAAGAACTTTACGTCAAGTTGTAGAAGTTGACCTAAAACACTGCACATAAATCAAAGCCAGGCTACAACTGGTACAGGAAAGAAATATGGTTTAGTAATAGGAGAGAAATGACAGGAACTTCTGGGCAGAAGTCCCAGAAGAGAACTCCTAATATCAAAATAATATTAGATTATGTAGGGTTGATATGAAACCACAGCAGAAAAAAAATCAAAAACCTAGTCATTCCTACACCTTATGAACTAGATGAAGAAGAAAACCTGTCTGAGGAAGAGAACATTAGTGGGACACAGGTGAACAGGGAAAGAACAAGGAAGAGCCTAGATCAGAAGAGAAAGGGATAGTTAACACTAAACCCATGTGTAAATTCAGTATCCTCCAGTAGGACAAGCCACAGGATGCAGTGTAACCCACGTCAGTATTTTTGTGCATACAAATCCCAAAACACATAACTTACAGGTTGAATATACACTTCTGGTTGCTTTCAGCTCAGGAAAGGACTGGAAGCACACAGCTGCCTTGGTGTCTTTGATCTGAGACATCTATTAAAAACTACCAGGGAGGAGCTCCTGCTGGTAAGGAAGGGAAATATCACAGTAGAGAACCATAGTTGGTACCTTTGAGGTTGCTGTCCCAAGTGGCTGCAGCGGAGAACAGCAGGCTATAACTGACCCACTAAAATACTTTCTTAATGTAATTAACAAGTCAAGAGATTTCAGCAAGAAGACTACTGTTGTTGGGCTTTCAGTGCAACGCAGGTGGTAGAACCTCACCTTGTAAATCCTTCCTGGAAGCAACCCACAGCTAGCAGTGGAACAAAAATTATGGAAGATAAATGAAATGGACAACTAAAAGATACCCATGTTTGTAAAAAAGACACTGAGAAAGTGGATGGAATCCAAGCATAAGGCCACTGAAGAGGTGAAGAGCCTGGAGCACAGCACAGATAGAAGAGGCTGGGTTGGTTCAGTTTGGAGAAAAGATGCTTAGGGAAGGATTTAACAGCTGTCTGAGACCACCTAAAAGGGGATTAGGGGTTTTAGAGACAAGGAGCCAGAATCTTCTTTGTGGGACACAGCAAAAGGACAAGAGGGTACAGGCATAACCTCCAGCAAGGGAAATTCTGATTAGATACCAGGAAAAATTGCACAGGCACGCTCCCCAAAGGGCAAGAGAGTCTGCATGGCCCCAGAGAGTCTGAGGAATCTCCATTCATGGAGATGTTCTGGACTCACCTGAACAGGGCCCTGAGCAACCTGATCTAGCTTTGGGGTTAGCTCCACTAATGGTGCTGGTGATTCATGGACATATGTAGAGACAGTGATGATTTCTGCTATTTGTTTAGCACAATGGAGCATTAAGCCAACAATTGCACAGACCTATAGATGATCCCAGTTTTACACTAGAGAGCTTACAGTTAGGTCACCGTTGCTTTGTATGTAAATTTAGAATTATTCTTCTGTATGAATATTGTTTTACATATGCCTACCTAGGATTCCATCTGCTGCTCTACTGCCCATTCATTCACTATCACAAGATCCTTCTGCAGTCACTCAGAGTCAGCTCCCACTCTATTAACCTGAGGGAGGAACTTTCTACCACCAGCCAGTTTTCTCACCTCACCAAGCTCTGTTTCCAGGTCATTTAGAAACATACTGAACAGCATCTGTTTTAGGTTAGGCCCTCTGATCTGACCACTGATGACTTCCCCTTGCTGTAAAAGCTGCATCTTTAGTCTCGCCTTCCATTTACTATTTTATACTAATTCTTTAGCCAAGAAAAACTTCACCTCCTTTCTTATGCCATGACTTTAGCTTTATTTAAAGACACCAATGAAAAAAATCTTGTCAAATAATTTTTTGGAAATCCAAGGAAACGGTATCAGCCAGACCTGCTTCATCCACAAGCTTGCCAAGGCCCTCAAAAAAGTCCAGCTTTCCAAGACAGGATTTGCCTTTACAAAAGCAGATGCTGACTTTTTCCTTTAATATCACAGTCACTGCTTTCCCCTTTATACTGTCTACCCTCTTGCCCAGGTATCTACTTTCTTGGTCTGTGCTTTCTCCTCATTTGGGGGATCTCACTTGGAGCCCCTTTTGAGAATATGCTCATCTGTTACTTCTGATTCTCAGCACTGAGATGACTTTAGACAGGAGGTTTTGCTGTTCCACACAGAACTGCATCATAGTTCAGTTGTTAGTGCACAGTGAAGGCCATCTGGGCTTGGGGGACAGGGAGATGGACCTTATTCCTGTGACTTGCCTAAGCCAGGTGCTCTCTGCCAGGCCACTGTGTTTTCCCAGCTTCCTACCATGGTATAATGCTTGAGCAAATCCCATTTCCTTACACCATGCCATGGCAGTCTCCACAGCAGAGCACTTGTTGGGACTGACCGTGAAGATTTTATGTCCTGCTGTCACATAAAGGGCTAGAAAGCCTGTAGCAGATCAAGAAATCACCAGGGTTTAAAATCTTGGCCACCTGACCTCTGTACAAAACCATTCAGAGACGTGTCAGCTGTGGGGTTTGCAGAGTAGCAGTAGCTGTATGGAGTGGGCATCACAAGCCCCACTTGCTCTTTATCAAAGTGAGAAGGAGCCATGGTAACAGCAGTAACCTAGACCACCATGAACTCCAGACCTCTGTCTATCCTGTAGCTCCTGTTATAAGGTGGGTTTTTCCCCCCTTCTGTGCTCAGTTCCTACTGCTACTATTTTTATTTTTTCTCACCAACAAGTCTTCTCCTAACTAACATTCATAGCACTCACCCACAGGATGGCATCAGGATCTTGACTCTCAGATCCCCACTGATGGGGGCCTGACAGCAGCTGGTGCAGGAAGTGCCACGGCCCTAAACCAGGGGGTCCTACTAAAGGAAATAAAACGGTATTAGAATTATCACGACGATGTCTTGAGGTGGACTGGGGAGAGACCTCATAGACCTCAAGAAAGGCAGGGTGGACGCACACCCTTCCGCAGGGCCGGCGGCTCCTGGCACGGAGCGCTCGCAGCTCTGGAGGAGCAGCTGGCAGCCTGTGGGAGCTGCAGCACCCCCTGTGACTCACCTGTGTCCCAGCCACACAGGCACGGTCCTGAACTCCGCCTGCTCCCAGGCAGGCTAAGGAGAAGGTAGCTCCAGGTCAGGCAAACCGCACGCCTCAAGTGGAGGGCTTCATTTTCACCATTTGCAAAGCACTTCCTGAGCTGCAGTTAATGAGTAATGAGAGGGGTGGAGGAAGGCCAAGGCCAAGCTGGGAGAGGTAGGTGCAGACGGAAGGGACAGACTGCTCTTCCTGCCTCCCATCCGCCGGGTTCACGCCCTCCCTGCTACATTCCTGCCCGGTGTGTAACTGAAAGGCACGGAGGCAAAGCTGGACGCGGCACTGTGCTCTCCTGGGCCTGGTTTCTTCATCCCCAGCCCTGCCACCCTGGCTCACATCACCCTCCCTGAATACCTCACTGCTCCCAAGGGCAACAGGCACACAAAGCAGGAGGCTACAAGCAGACACCTCTGATGGTCCTACATTCGAATCATGTCGGAGACACCAGACGTCACACCTAAGCGAGGCAGCTCTGTGAGGTTTGCCCCTCTTCAGTCCCCTAAGACTCAAGATACAATTTTGTATCGTTTCTGCTGTTCTAATCCAGGCTGCGGCCAAATGGGACAAGCCCAGCTCCCTGCTGCATCTCCACTGCCTTGTTCTTGAGGGCTAACGGGCTTGGTTGCACACACAGCCAGAGAACAACGCAGCCACAGGCATGGGTGCTCTGAGGGAGTGAGCTGCACCAAGCCTGCTGGGACAGAGGTCCCTGTGCATTCAGGACACTTGCACCAAGTTGTGTTTAGGGATACATTACCGACTTAGCATGTTTCAAAAGCTTGCTCTTAGACAGGGCTTAGTAACTCTGAAATATTTTTTTAAAACAAATGTCACTTCGATATCAAGTCCTAGGGCTTCAAATTCAGACTTGCATAAGCAACTACATTTTTGCAGAACTTGGTGGTGCATACTGGGCCCCTCAAAAAACTAGCACAGGTTTCATCAGGCGTGAGATGGGCAGTGATATAACTGCCTCTGCAACAGAGAGAAGTATCCGTGCCTGAGGAACGCCACTGAGCTCACGTTCATTCCAAAACAAGGGTATTTTCAAAACATCTTTTATTCACGAGCAAACACACAGGCAGGCACAAAGCATCCCGCTCCTTCCAGGTCAGCATCTCCCTCGTTCAAGTGCTCCCTTCCCGGGGCTGACGGGACCCGCCCACTGGGAGAGAGGCACCGGCCAGGGCACGGCCCCTCGCCGGGCAGGAGAGGTCCAGGGTCTCAGGAGGTTGCTACTGCACCGGTCCCGGCCCCGTGCGGCGGCAGCGTCATGGGCGGCAGGAACATGGCCTTCAGCTTGCCCGACATGCTGGCGATCTCTGGGTCCTGCGACTCGTAGGATTTGATCAGCCGGGCGAACTTCAGGACTCCTGCAAGAGAAGGGGTGGGAAGGAGGCACCTGCCCGTTGCCGCTGCCTCCTCGGCG